TATACAATAACACATTACTGCTTTAAACCCTGTAAAATGAAAAGAAAAAACAATTGGATTAAATTAAAGATATATTTATTGGCTGGAAATAATAACTCGTATTACACATAATGAATGACCCAATGTGTAAGACCATACTCCACATCACACAATGCAAACGAGGTAAGAAGTTAGATTGTAAATAAGCATCTCTGTTGATCTGGAACATGCTAACATGTTCAAACTACTGCATTTGCAGAATATCATAAGTCTAGATTGAAATGGTACTTGGTACAACAACAGAAAAAACAACAAAAAACTATTCTGTACTTCATATGGCATGTATTATGAAAACTTTATTAAATTAAATTTCACTAACATCTCCCATGAGCCATGAGATTCCAGTCCAAATGCAGCTAAAATTCCTATTTTATCTCCCAGTAAACAACCGGTGTGATACCAACTATTTCCAGTTTAATGAGTTTATAATGAAAGGAGCATATATAATTTCAGAAAGGTGACAATGCAACTGAATCACAAGCAAAGCATCTTAATTGATGGCTTGTTCATGATACACATACCCAGTATTATAAAAATTTCAATGAAATTTAATCGTAGTTTACCTCAAAGGAACAAAAGAAGATGCAAATTGGAAAAGAAAGAGACAAACAGGAAGCTATGGAGGTTATAACTCATAAGTGAATACTTTGAGGAAACTATTCACTCTATACAATATTCAACATGACATCAAACTAAGAGGGGAATGACGGAAGTTTGAGGGGTTAGAGCAGACCCCGAAGGGATGCCTCATTGGCAGCCGAGAGCAGCCTATTCTGTCTGTAGCAGCTTCTTCTTTCAAAGGCAAAGGCCATCAACATGACATCTACTGATGATGATGATCCCCGCGCAAAAGATAAGAATGAATCAACAGGCAACACAACACCCAAGAAAATCTATCCAATAAAGCCATTACGATTAAGCAAACACAACCAAACCCACATCATGATTTCACCAATCAATGCAAGCAAACCCAAGGGACAACATAAATAAATCTAAATTCAAATACCTACGACGGGATTCCGAGTGAAATACTCCGTAAACACCTAATCTGCGAAGCTCAAAATCTTAACCCAGAAACGACTCAAAAGGAGAGAAAGAAATGGGTTCAACCTAAACTACGAAATGAAGTGTAATTTCAGCAGATTTGAGCCAATTTTTATAGAGAAATAGAATCATTTGCCTGTGAATCAACCAAACTCGAATGATTATACTCTTCAAGCATTCAAGTGGCGCTAAAATGATCCCGAGATGCCTGGCAGTCACAGTATTCGTCTGGAATTGCGAACTTTTGGAAAACTTGTTAAAGACTTTGCGTGCGTTTACACCCTAAGACGCGAGATCAGAAATTTACACGAACGGATGGCGATTTGGGCTGACTGCTCTATGCTTCCGAACGATTTCTTCACGAATCACTCGCCATTTCTGGATTTCTTCTCATTTCCCAAAATCTAACCCGGCCCGATCCCGGATAGAGACTAGGAATGCAAAAATTTGATATTGAGTACTTTTTGTAACAAGAATTTCAAAGTCCCATCATTTTTTAAAATATATTCTGAGTTATATATTTAATGTCCAAAAATTAAATTTAGAGAGGCTTTCCATCTATTTCTCTGTCATATTTAGTTGCGATATTATCTTTTCATCATCTTCCTCCCAAAAATTACTACTAGATGCCCTTAATTTTGTAAAAAAAACTTTCAGATCCCATTGTTTTAAAAAGTATACTCCGGAGTGCCCTAAAATATCCAAAAACTTACTCGGGAAGGACTTTCCATTTTTCTTATTATTATTATTACTATTATTTTATTATTACTGTTATTATTATTACTATTACTATTATTATATTTAATACTACTATTGTTATTATTACTCACTTCGTCATTGTCTTCTGCAATTGTCATTAGTCGCCGTTGTTGCCTGTTGAATGGCATTGAGTTGTTGTTCCACGCATTATAAAAAATACTCCCTCCGTCCCGCTATATTCGTCCACTTTTGACTTTTGGAACTGTTCATCTAAGCACTTTGACTCATCAAATTCTCTCAATGTGTAAGCCTAAATATAGTCATGCGTGATCTTGTTTGATTTGTCTTAACATATAGATTATTAATATATAATTTCTATAATTTTTTAATATACAAATTACAAGATAAAATGGATTAAAGAAGTGTATTGGATGATGTGGAAAAATGAAAGTGGACAAATATAGTGAGACGGAGGAAGTAACAACAACAACAACAATAATAATAATTGTAATACTCGTAATATTAATATTAAAAATATTAACATTAATAATTAAAGAGGGAAAAATAAAAGTTCGTCCAAAGTAAGTTTTTGGATAATTAAAGTACTTTAAAAACGAAGGGACCTTAAAATATTTTAAAAAATCAAAAATATCCAAAAAAAAAAATTAAAGTATACATTAGTAACACTAAAATATCCAAAAACTTACTCCGGAGAGACTATCTTTTTTTCCTTCTTTTGTTAATAATAATATTACTATTATCGGTATTATTGTAATTACTGCTACTACTACTATTATTATTAGAATACGTGCAGCGACAATCCAACGCGATCCAATAAGAAACAATGGCAGCTAGTAACAACCCGGTGATAATTGCGGAAAACAATGGCAAAGTGGGTTGTAATAATAATAATAATAATAATAATAATAATAATAATAATAATAATAATAATAATAATAATAATAATAATAATAATAATAATAATAATAATAATAATAATAATAATAATAATAATAATAATAATAATAATAATAACAATAATAACATCTACCTATTTACAAAAGTAAAAGGAAAAAGTTACTGCCTAATAAAGTTTGGACGGTTGTTGCGGCCTCAATATAATGTCTAATAATATTTAACGGTTCTGGCTAAGTATGGGGAGTATTTGTTCTCCCTGGGTCTGGCATTGTGCGTTGAGAGTGTGAGTCGGTAGGGGATGAGGACGAGTCAGGGGCAGATTTAGCCGTGACTGATATGTTGGAGCTCCGGGGAGCTGCAACAAGCCTTCAACTGTCTGGTGAGAGGGTCGTTGCAGCAGGAGAGCTGAGGAAGATTACTAGATGTACGAGAGTTTGTATCAGATGACAGCTGATGGTTATCAAGCTTCTAAGTGGGAGATTGTTGGACTTATGGAGGCTAGATTTGTTTGAGTCCGACTAGGGTTAGCCCTTCTTATTTGTTAGCCCGTTTTTCTATTTCTTGGAGGACAGGTTTCGTAGCCCTAGGTTTCTCCCTATATATTGAGTCCTTGTACTAGTAACCTTTGTGACATAAAAACTGAATAAAATTCCTCCTGTTGCAGTCGTAGATTAGGGAAACTGAACCATGTTAAACTCTTGTGTGTCATTTGTGTTCTGTTCTTTCGATTCTCGTAGATTTGTGTGTGTGTGTGTGTGTGCTCTGTGTTTAATTCTCAACACATTCATAGCGACGTTGCTTATTGATTCTTCGATGTTTGCTTCTCCGATCATTATGAAGTTGAATTCATTTAAATATTTGCTACTACCACCAAGATCCGCTTCGATAGTCGCAAGCAGCGAATGCAAGCGCTGATCTAACGCATATTCTGACTTAGAGACATTTAGTCATAATCCAACACATGGTAGCTTCTCGCCATTGGATTATCAACTTGTCGCGAGAGCAACTCAATCAATCCGCCAACAACCAAAGGACTCAAGACTGTGAGTCTGTGACCCCCGTGCCTAACCCTGAGAGTCAATCCTTTTCCCGAACGACGCTTTGGTGACCGATGACGATGCTCCGATGGTAATGTGGTGGTGCTCCAGCGGTAGTGTTGCATTGTGCATTGTGGATCAGGTAATGAACTCCTTTTTAGATATTAAAAATAATATTAATTCTATGTTGGTATTTTCATAATTTTTATTTCTATTTAAGTACTGCTCTCAAAAACGACAAATGGTGTGATGAGAGACGTTTTGAGTAAATTGGCAGCTAAATGGTCACGAATTCAAACTTTATAGTAACTTATTTTTTATGGAATAATGCTAAAAGTCCAACATAGGTATTTCCACGGGCACAAATGATAATTATAGATTATTTTGTTATTGTTGCTATACAGACGATGATGATATATGTGAATAGATGATGATGGACAAGAATTCCACCTGAAGACCTTAATCGGGCGTCGGGTCATATTATTATTAGATATTAAAGCTTGACAGTACAATACATGTAGCTTGCTAAGTTTGTCTTCTTCGTCTTCTTCCACCGCTAGATGCTTGGCCCTCGCCAACATCTCCTGATATGTGGGGAGTGGATTCCTCCGCGGCTCCTTGCGTGCACCCCCCCGGGGGAGTGCTACTTGAAGCATTGCAATGAGGGCTTGATCATTCGCCCCCTGGACGTCCGTAGCCTCCTTCTCCCAGCGGGATATGAAGTCCCGAAGTCTCGGAGTTTCTACGGTTGGCTTGCTGCAAAGTGCTCGAGGAATTTGTTGAACAAGTCCTTCCACCGATCGATTTATCCCTCGGGTAGTTTGTAACACCATTCACAGGCTTGTCCCTCCAACGTCGCTAGGAAGCAGCGACAATTGATTTCCTATGGGTAGGCCAACAAAACCACGTTAGCCCGGAACCGTGATAGGTGATCCTGAGGATCGGTCGTCCCATTATATGCCTTCACTTAGGGCGCCTTGAAATTCTCCGGGAGAGGACACGACATCACCCTTTTTGAAAAGAGGGTCACCTCGTCTAGGACCACCCGATAATATGGGTTTCTGGCGTCCACTTTTTTTTTTTTTCAATTCCCTGATTGTCTTCCATAGGTGGCCTGCCTTCTTATTGTCGATCGCCCTCTTCTTCTCCTGCGACTGGACCCTGTAGGTTGCTGAGGATTCCTCCCTTCGTTGCTTGAGCTTCTCTCCCAAACGATTATCGTTTGCGTAGGTATAAAATCATTTGTGCTTGTCATCCAGGAAAATAATCACATAATGAGTTACTTGATCTATTTTTATAAGGTAAAGTTAATGTACAAAGTCCAAACAAAACAAACAAAAAACACCATTTCACTCGAATGCCGAATTGAAATTTTATCAACCAAATTAAGGAGTATTTGCAATGTATGACGCGGGTGAATCAAATCTCAAAATCTTATCCACAAACCTCATCTTCTTCTTCTGCAGTAGTGGTGTGATTAGGTATCCTCCACCCACCTATCGCTCCCAATCCCATTTCCGCAATGCTTCTCTCCTCAACCCCATCTCCTTCCTCTTCCCTCTCCTTCTCCTCCTCTCTCGCCCCTCTCCATCTCCATCCCCGCAATGCGTCCTCTCTCCCCTCCTCCTCGCCCCGGCCGCCGCCCATCCGATGCGATCTCCGCGAGCTTCGGGACCGCATTGCCTCCGCGAAGAACACCGGGAAGATCACCGAGGCGATGAAGCTCGTGGCCGCCGCTAAGGTCAGGAGAGCTCAGGAAGCCGTGGTCAACGGCCGCCCTTTCTCCGACGCCCTCGTCGAGGTTCTCTATAACATCAACGAGAAGCTCCAGCAGTCCGACGTCGCCGACGACATCCCTCTCACCCGTGTCAGGTATCTGAAAGGAATTACATTCGCTCCGTAGTGTGTTATTTTGCTCGGTATTAGTTGAATTGAATTTCTGTGCATCTCCAGGCCGGTGAAGAAGGTTGCTCTGGTGGTCGTCACCGGCGACCGTGGCCTCTGCGGCGCGTTCAACAATAACCTAATTAAGAAAGCGGTGGCCCGGATTGCAGATCTGAAGGATCTAGGGATCGATTACACCGTGGTTAGCGTGGGGAAGAAGGGGAATTCGTATTTCTCTCGGAGGCCACACATTCCGGTGGACAGATTCCTGGACGGATCGGCACTCCCGAGTGCCAAAGACGCTCAGGCGGTTGCCGACGACGTCTGCTCGCTGTTCGTGAGCGAGAAGGTGGACAAGGTGGAGCTGCTGTACACGAAATTCGTGTCCCTGGTGAAATCCGAGCCGGTGATTCACACGTTGCTCCCCCTGTCGCCGATGGGGGAGGTGTGCGACATAAACGGCAAGTGCGTGGACGCGGCGGAGGACGAGTTTTTCCGGCTGACGACCAGGGAAGGGAAACTGACGGTTGAGAGAGAGGTGAGGAGGAGGGAGACGGCGGATCTGTCGCCTATGATGGTGTTCGAGCAGGACCCGATAGAGATACTGGATGCTTTGATGCCGCTGTATTTGAACAGCCAGATTCTGCGAGCTCTGCAGGAATCGGCGGCCAGCGAGTTGGCGGCCAGGATGGCGGCGATGGGCAATGCCACAGACAATGCGAATGAGTTGAAGAAGACGCTCAGTAACTCTTACAACAGAGAGCGGCAGGCGAAGATCACCGGAGAAATTCTGGAGATTATTGCCGGTTCTAATATCTAGTAGCTCCGGTGAAATGGAGAATTTATTATTATGGGAGGTGGGGAACTGCTAAACCCCCACAGAAGATTATGTCCTCTCCCACAGCCTCACAGAACGCAGCTGCAGATTAATGGATGAAAGTTCATTCTTTCTTTAGTGTTATAAATCTCAGAGAAAATGTATCTAATATATATACGGAGTACATTGCAAAATGATATTCAGTTATTTCTGTTTCAAAGTAAGCTTCACTCCGGCCAAGATAAATTTCATATATTTCTCATTAATCCTAAAAATTTACTGTGTTTTAAATCTTCTACACAAACTTTAATGAAGAATCATGGTTGGGTTTATGAGCTTCAGACCATGTTTTCCCAGGTCATGTTCTACTGAATTTTTTTTATTTATTTTTATTGAAATCAGATTAGAAATAATTTTAAATATAATTATATACAGATCATATCAGATCATAATTTATTCTAATCTGATCATGTGAAGAGAACATGCCATTAGTTTTGGGGATACACACTTCGGGTGAGAGGTGATGGAGGTGACATTAGTTGATCTAATTATACTCCCTCCGTCCCAAATTATTTGTCACATTTCTATTACTGAGGCAAAATATCAAGTTTTTTCAATTCATTTTATTTACATATTGGTAAAGAAATAAAAAATAAAAATTACATATCAAAAAACTACATGAAAAGTTCTTCAAAATAAGAGGTGTCAAGAATATTTTATTTTATCAAATAACCAATGAAAACGTAGAAATAAACAAAAGTTCCTGCGACTGCTGAGAAAGCAAATGTTGTGAATATTTTGGGACGGAGGGAGTAATAAATAATACTCCGCGGTTGAGAAGACATTCTATACTCTTGACGAAGTTTCTACTAATGTTGAGAAGACATTCTATGATCATGAGCTATAGAGGGGCGAACTCTCCAATTTCTACCACTTGAAGATTTGAGAGTGTTAGGCTTTTGTGAGAAGTCTAATGCTTCATGGTAAACTTGACGTCAAATTTGAGAAACAATTCTTTGTGGTATACATTAACATTGTGTTTGGTTCAAGAAATTTAGTAAGAAAAAAATGGGAGAAAAATTATTATTTTTTGTTTGAGAGGAAAAAAACTGAAAAGTTGAATGAAAAGAAAATAGGAAAAGAAATGTACTATGAAGAAGAAAATTGATTTTCCTTCCCTTCCGGTGAAGAAAAAAGATAAAATTATTTTCTTTTCGTTTCAAATTTCACGAACCAAACATAGTTTAAGTGAAATAATGGTGATTGCTTCTATCACGAAATTGACAACAAAGTGTTTGATGTTGATGCGATGTTTTCTTTGTGGGAGGGCATTTGCACTATGTTTAAATAAAGAAAAAAGTGCACCGTTTACCCCCAATGACTTACTCCTGAACATTAAAAATTTTACTGTTTACCCGAAACTCATCGGAAATTGCACGATTTATCCGGAATATTAAAAAAAGTGTACCAAATACTCCTGAATAATTTAAAATGTTATTTTTGATAAAATAACATATCACTTTTTGTTTTATAAAGGGTTCGAGGTTGTTTTTTTAAGAATTAATTTAAGTATATGAATTTAGTGAAATTGGTAAAATGTTTTTTTTGTGAAGGATGGAGAGCGTGTTTGGGAATAGCGTTAGCGATTAGCGTTGGCGTTTTGAAAAGGCTATCTACGGGCAGCGTTTAACGTTAGCGTTTTCAAAGTAATCTGCATCGTTAAAATTTTATCCAAAACGCTAACGCTAATCTCTAAAGCTATTCCCAAACAAGCCCGGAGTAGGTTTTTACAAAGAAGCCGGGAAGGAAGTAGATATGCCACGCATTTGACTCCGCTTTAACACCACGGAGCATTTTAATTGGTTCAGATTCGTCACACTCTGTTCTTATTTGTCTGGCCACACACGCGCTATATAGCCCGTCGTCGTGCTTATCGCCCAAAGGCAAATTCCGCAGCATTCTTATTCCCGAGCTCACGATTAATCTGGATTCATACATACAGAAGATAACCAGAAATTGTGATCTTCGCCCCGTCAGATCTTTGTCCATTACATCGTTCCCTGCTCGGCAGTTTATAAGTTTTTGGGATAAACCTAAAGAATCCGAGAGATATGGCGCAAGCAGTCGAAGAATGGTACAAGCAGATGCCCATCATCACCCGCTCCTACCTCACCGCCGCCATCGTCACCACGATCGGCTGTTCCTTAGAGGCGAGTTTCTTCTATGGCTGTATTATTCCTCAATCTCACTGGTCTTTGGATGGATTTGATGATCTGTTGGATATAAATTGTGGGTTTGAGCTTTTGTGATTAGTAGAGTTTACAATTGGAACTCGGAATGCCTGTTTTTTTTGTTGCAGATTATATCTCCGTACAATTTATACTTGAATCCCAAGCTGGTGGTGACGCATTACCAGTTCTGGCGCCTCATTACCAACTTTCTCTACTTCAGGAAAATGGGTATTGACCTTTCCAGATGATCATACTGCTGTCCTTTGATAGTTTTCTGTTTTCTTTTTGTATCGGATGTTCATCATATTTTTAGAAAAAAATACTGCCAATAGTGTCCGGAGGAGTAGTGTTTAGGCCCCAATAAAGATATGCCGGAGGCTTGAGGTAGTGACTAGTGAGTTTGATTATGGTTGGAGGTAGATCTATAAAGAGTTGGACAAAGGTTATTAGACACACGATTTCAATACTTTACCGAGGATATCACCTTAGATAAGGGTGGACAACTAAGATTAGAGTTGTTTGGTCGACCTTTGGATCTTAGTTTGTAGTTGTTTTGCCTTGTTGCATAAGTTTGTAGCATGTGCATATGTGCTTTCTTAGCTTTGAGTCTAGTGTTGTATTTACTTTTTATGTGCTTTTGTGTCGAGCTTTTGGAAACAACGTATCTACTTCCAAGTAAGGGTAATGCCTACACATACACCCTCCCCACACCCACCTATCTCGTGGGATTCTACTTGGTTTGTTGTTGTTTGCATTTCGCTCTAATAGTTCCAAGTTTGTTTTGTGTCAATGCTAATGGTCACTACCCAACCAACATTGAGTTCTAAAGCAAGTCTGTACTGCCATGGTTTGGACATTGTGGTGATTCTTCAACTCCCCATTTCCATACGCCTCTCAGCACAATCTCTTACTCACAATTGGGGAAGTATAGACCATTAGTATCTATGCAGACCAAACTTAGGATTATCAATGAGGCATGCGAATTGCGGGCTTATTAGTGTAGAAGGGGTCAACCGTGGGATTAGATGTCAAATTTTCCTTTCTTAAAAATATATACAGAATACTATTCGTAACTGAGTACTTTGCATTATGTTCTGTTTCAGAGTTTTATGTGGCTTAAAATTGCAAATATATACAGAATTTTACTCATAAGTGAGTACTTCGCATTATGTTCTGTTTCAGAGTTTTATATGGGTTAAAATTGCAAATAAATATGGAATACTGATACTCCTATTATTTAAATGTGAGTACTTCACATTATGTCCTGTTTCAGAGTTTTATATGGCTAAAAATTGCTCCATTGTCTTCTTGCCACAATGAACTGACCCTGTTTGTCAACAGATTTGGATTTTTTGTTTCACATGTTTTTCCTGGCACGATACTGCAAGCTCCTTGAGGAGAACACTTTCAGAGGAAGGACTGCAGACTTCTTCTACATGCTTTTTTTTGGAGCCACCGTGCTAACCGGAATTGTTCTCATTGGTGGAATGATACCTTATGTCTCGGAGTCATTTGCAAAGATCATCTTTCTCAGCAACTCACTAACATTTATGATGGTTAGTTTTTTGTTTGGTCGCACCTCAAAAATCACTCTCTAGCTCTTTTATGGCTTTTGTATGTTCACTTATTTTAATTCGTCAAGTGTTGTTTCCCTCTAAATAATAGGTATATGTTTGGAGCAAGCAAAACCCCTACATCCATATGAGCTTTTTGGGTCTCTTTACTTTCACAGCTGCTTATCTTCCATGGGTCAGTGTCAGCTTTCTCTGAAGTTCTGGACATATTTCTTGTTTTCCATTTTTTCAAATAATTATGTGTAATGCAGTGCCCTATGTGTTTCTTGGCTTCTTGTGATTCTGTCAGTGCTTAACTTCAGTCATTAGTTAGAACTTACAGACAAACATTTTAGTGTAGGCCTTTTCTTATGCCGGAAAGATAAACGCAAAAAATAGAATCAAAACATAGTCTAATCAAAACTCCATTCGGGTGGACCTCCCTTTGTGCTGCAGGTGCTTTTGGGCTTCTCTGTTCTCGTTGGGGCTAGTGCTTGGGTCGATCTATTGGTACGATTCCACAAGTCAATATGAACTTATTACCATTTCTTAGAAAAAATCAACATTATGTTTTTTTTAATTATGGTGGGTGTTCAGGGGATGATTGCAGGACATGCATACTACTTTCTCGAGGACGTTTACCCGCGGATGACCGGACGCCGACCACTGAGGACACCCGCCTTCATCAGATCATTGTTTGCAGAAGAGCCGGTGGTGATGGGTGGACGCCATGTCCAGTTTGCAGCTCCTCCTCCTCCTCCTCTGGAAGGAGAAGATCACCATAATTGAATCATTTAGTTCATGAGGTTCTCTCGACTTCTATGTGTACTAATTTAGTTCCATTTGCTTATGTAAATGTAAATTTACATGGATATCTTCTCATTCACAAGATTTTTACCTTCTTTTTGACATCCAACAACATTATTTTAACTCTCCACCCCCAGTTGAGAAATTATTTTGGGACGTGCCCTTAGCACATTATAAGTACTTATACTGTATAAAACCTTCGATTGACATTAAAGAACTCTCCATGGGAGATTTGGTAGGTCTTTACTGAATCATATCATCTCTTCAAATACAATTACGTTACACATTCCGCATAATTGAATCAACTGAATGTGACACCTAAAACAAGTATGTCACGTGCCATTCTCGTTCTCTAACGGATGGGGTGGTACTGAGCAGAGACTCTTTTGGGAGGAAGTTTGCGCAGGATATATAAAACCAGCGCCGAGGGCAGGATTTCCACCACCTGTGTTTTTTTAATAGCCATGAAATTAAAAAGCGGCGTAATTATAAAAACGCAATGGGAGAAGGATAGAAGGTGACCATAATATGGGTGGCATACTTACCAGGTAGTATATCAAATTCAAAACAGGGTGGTCCAATACTTCAAGTGAAGCATCTGAATCAAAAGCAGACAACACAACCTGCCATGGAAAAGATTACAGAGTAGACTTTGATTTGTTTTAGATATTTGAATAAGTGAAAACGACGACCCGGGAGCAAAAAAGAAAAAAAAAAGGAAGAATGTTTGAAGCCCTCACCACAAAGCATCTTATCAGGAAACAGGTGAAACATATGGCTGTCACGGATCCGACCTGCAATAATTCGTATGGGTGGCGATGATCCAAGTGCTGATATAATAATAACTTACGGAAAGTTAAGAAGTATAGGCAATTTCTGCACATCCACAAATGTTAACAATGGTCGAACCTCGTGGAGCTTCTTTCTTCTTCCTTTGGATTCAATGGGAAAGCGTCGCAGCATGATAAAAAGCCTTGTAGCACAACAAATTGGAATCCACACAAGAAAATGAATTATCACTCCATAAATAAATTTAAATGGCGATAAAGATAAAACTGCTTTGATTATAAAGGACAGGTCCAGCTATTCACCTTCCCCCATAGATCAAGAACCCCAATGCTGCCACAAATGAAACAACTGCACAAAAAAAAGTATATTGAAAGCAAGACCCAAAAGCATATACTCATATATACTCCAGCATTTATCAAGTGTAAAAAATGGAATGTAGAAGCTTACCAGCTATGAAGTTCTTTCCAATCAAATCCACGGCATTATTATCGTTAAACCATAGATAGACCCATATACCGGCCTGTATGATGTACATTCCGGCATTTATTGATACGTAAAAGGTTTTGAGCTTATCAGTTGGCAAACTTCTAGCCTGTTCACATGAACGGGTGCGAGAGTTAAGACATGACTTTTCTGAATCAATTGAAAAAGTGTCATCCATAAATGGGAGATGATCTTGCCTGGTGATATATCTCAGCCCAAAACAGGACCAGAAGTGTATATGTTGAGAAAAAGAGCAATCCAGGAATGTCTAATAGCGCAGTGGTTAGCACCTGGATGACACAGTACATCCAAGAGCATAAAAAGTGTAAGGTGTTATACAAAGTAAATAGTGGGATGAAAAGAAAAAGAATGAAACCCATGGCAGCACTGAATAGTGTTTGTCCGTTCATTTAGTACACTACTTAGTTTAAGCAACTAACTTATTTATTCGAAAAAAAACCCAAAGAAATGCCAATGAGGGGTATCCGCAATATCTTAGATATAGACCACTGAAAATAGGTAACCAGTAATTCAGTAAATGACACTCAAGTCTTACTATCACACAGAAACCTTATTCAAGGAAAAAACAAGTTTATTTGAATAAAAATACAGGCATTCCTTTCACGAAAACGGGTTCTCTACGCTGACAAGTAGAGGCAAGGACTGTATATCTCACCCTCCTTAAACCCTAATTCTAGGTTGGAAGTACTCGGTATATTTAGATTGCTTAACTGAATCTAAATTTATGAACAGAATTATTAAGTACGAGTACGACCAACGTAGATAACAAATGTACTTAGAAATACAGTCACTTGATGACATAGAAGGTGACTATTAATTAATGCTAAATGTTTAAGGGACACAAGAGATATTTTGAGTGGATCGAAACCGATATACCTTGGGATGGAAAAGAAATGCTTGTTTGTGAAACCCAAAGACAACGGCACGAACTGAAACAAGGAGAAGTAAAACAGAAGTTATATTGCAGGCATACGAAAAATGCCGAATAATGTCATTGTTCAACTGTACCTCCATTCACAATGAAATTCATGAGATGAAAAACCTTTTGTGTTGTCCATCCATACCCGGGCACTCTCATCTGAATTCTTATCAATTGAATCTGCACAACCAACTCAAACAATCATCCCCAAGCACTTCTAATGGGAAAAAAAATCAAATACCCAATTTGTAAGGAGGAAAGGGCAAAACCCTAGACATGAAAATGAGATTGGGAATCAATAAAGTTAGCTGCTATGAACATTATCACGGAGCATTATATTTGAGCAGCTTATATATTATTCTTGTGCAGTGAGAAGAAGACTAAGAAGAGTACGATACATACAAGGGCGACGGCAGATACGAGGGCATAGGCAGCACAGAGAGAGTAAAATATCCCATCTTGCCATTCAACTGATTCGTTGATCTTATCCCACCAGTTCGGCGGCACCGGTGAAGCACTGCCGGAGACCGGATCCGGCGGTGTTACTCGTGTCATGCTTCTCTTCCCGGTAGGAGTCAATATCGAGAAAACACACAAAAGGAAGGAGAATTGGGAGGAGAAAATCGATTGCTTGCTTCTCTCTTTAGCGATTCGAATGTTTTTTTAATCTTGAAGGTGTACCAAGTTCTAGGAGTTCATACGCAATTATTGTCCTGCTCAGTTTTTTTACTCTTATTTTCCCCTTTTCAATTAATTGTCTTTAAAAAAAATTGATTTTAGATTAATAAATTTACTTTTTTATTTAATAAAATAAAGAAAATGTGACTTATAAATTTTTCTTTCTTCTAAATAAATTTTTACTATTGTGGGGTGGGCACGGATCGGGACGGTTCAGTTTTAGGTTGTCCCACGTCTTGTCCCGTTATATGTAAACGGTTCGGATTACAACCTTATCCCGATTTGTCCCATAAAATTCGGGATCGGAATAAAACGGGACGGATTCGGGAGTGACATTTCATTCAAAAAAAAGAAACATGTAGCCATCCAACAAAAAACAATGAGTATAATGGGTCCAAATAAGTTTCAAGCCTACGAAGTTAACTTAATTAAATAACTAATTAATTAAAGAATGAATATATTTGGATTTTGGACTAGAATTAGTATTATACGAGTATATTAGTAGAGTAGATGAAACGGGACAAACGGGACGGATCGGTATAAATTTTAGTTGTTCCGCTCATGTCCCATTTGATATTGGGACGGAACGGGATCGGGATAAAAAAAATGTGTCCCGATATATCGGTACAATTACAAAACGAAACCGGGATTTTTTGGAATGGTCCAACGGGAATGGATTTCATGTCCACCCCTACAGTAAAGTCTAAGATGATTGTAAAGAAGAGATTTTTCTTCTATACATTCCAGATTTTACTTTCTTTTTCTTTTCTTATCGCCTTTACCTGATTTTGATGAGTTTAACATTATTTAAAAAAAAGTATTAAAAAATACTCTCCTCATCACAAAATGAATACTCCGTATACATTATGCAAAACAAAATGAGATTTTAAACTTTTAAAATTCATTTTAATCAAAGATTGGTATAGAAATAAAAAAAATAAAATTTACATATTCAGTAATGACGTCAAAATTTCTACTCCAAACAAAACAAGAAGTGAACAAAATAACTTATTTTATCAAATAATCAATTAAAATACGTAAATATACAAAATTTTTCGTCATTTTTTAAAATGAACTCTGATATTTTTCATGGAGGAAGTAAAAAAGGGTAAGGAGTACATGTTCATGCTAAGGACTTGTAAAGAGCAAAAATAATTTTTTCACGCAATTTCTCTTCGTTAGTTGTACATAACTCAATAATACAAAGTGCATGTTTATCTTTATACAAATAAATGTGTTTGAAGAATGGTGTAATTTTATGTAAAATTTTATTTTGAAATTGGAGGAGTATTTCATCCGTCCTATAAAATTTTTGACACTTTAGCTTAAGAAAGTGGTTGAAACTAACGTAAAAAATATTTGATAAGGATTTGTTTAGAAGAGAGAAAATTGTTGATAGTTTCATATTCACTATAGAAATACGAAATAAACTGTAAAGTTTTGTGAGACATCTAAAAAGGAAAAAGTTTAAAAAGTTTTAAACATCTAAAAAATGTGTGTACAATAAATTTTTTTCTTTTTGAGAGGAAAGCAAATTTCGTCCGAGCAATTGTTTTGGGTCCAAATTCTTAAATTTCAATAAATTTCCCCAAAAAACAAATTACATGGGAAAAGTTAGTTATTACAAATGCAAAAGTTGGTTAAGAAACTCATTGCCGATCATAACAAGAAATTATTTCTTTCTACATCACACAAATTTATCTATCCTTTTCTTTTCATTTCATTATAATTTTTGGTGAGAAATTTTCTGATTCATTTTTAATAACAAATGTTTATTTTTCTAGTTCATTATCATTGTTATATTGAAATTAAAGTCTTCCTTTTCCCATTATCATTCTTGCAGGCAATTTTATTGTTAAAATTCTTGGATGATTTCTTGAAACAAAAAAAATGAGGAAAAATCCCCTTAAAAGCTCTAAAAGTTCTGTGAATGAGGCAAGGACTTCGGGTCGATACGATGATGATGCAGGGGCTCTGGTTTCTTCTCCCATTGCGAGAAGTATTTCCATGAAACCAGGCAGGTTGATTCTCTTAATGTTCATAAATATAGATGATCATGATATTTTCATTTATGAATAAGTATTCGACCTAACTCGTCCCAAAAATCCTCTTCTTTTTTATCGACCCATACTTATTGAAGGGGTTGGTTCATTCATATTTAGCTAATGCAATATTTTCACGTTGAAATTCATGGATTAATGATGATAGGTGTAGGGGGGAGCAAGCAAAAAATGGTGGTCGAGGACGTTCTTCGGTATGGAGAAATGAGAGTTGAGGCTGAAGTGTTCACATTCTGCGAACTCGCGAAAGCCACCAACAATTTCAACCCTGATCTGCTATTGGGAGAAGGGGGCTTTGGGAGGGTATACAAAGGACATATCAGAAGAACTAATAAGGTCATCCCTTGGCTTGCTTTTAATTTGAATGTTTCTTGATTGATTAGTCTTCTTCTAGATTATGCATAATTTGCTCACATGTGTGTGTCTGTGTATAGATGGTGGCAGTGAAGCAACTAGATAGAAATGGAGTTCTTGGAAATAGAGAATTCCTAGCTGAGATCTTGACTTTAAGTCTTGTTCACCACCCAAATCTTGTGAACCTCATTGGATATTGTGCAGATGGGAACCAAAGAATTTTAGTGTTTGAGTTCATGCCCAATGGCTCTTTGCAAGACCATCTTTTTGGTATGCATTCTATAAATTGGTTTGTAAAGAGTACATCGAAAATTATGTTGTTGGTTGTAACTTATAAGTCGTAACTATAATAATGTTGTTCTTAGATTTGCCTCCGAGTAGAAACCATCTTGATTGGTATACTAGGATGCATATTGCCAAAGGTGCGGCGCAAGGGCTAGAATATTTGCACGATACGGTTGATCCTCCGATAATCTTTCGGGATTTCAAAACATCAAATGTGCTTTTGGACAAGTCCTTCAACTCGAAGTTATCTGGTTTTGGTGTTGCAAAATTTAGTTTGAGCGAAGAAGAAGACAGTGCATTCACAAGGATAATGGAGACCTATGGGTATTGTGCTCCCGAGTATGTTAAGTCGGGGGAACAACTTACGACCAAATCTGATGTCTACAGCTTTGGAGTTGTACTTTTGGAGATCATTTCCGGAAGGAGAGTGATTGATAATGCGAGATTAACTGAGGAACAAAACCTGATTTCATGGGTTAGTTCATACATTGGCTAGTTCTATCATTTATTTGCACTGAGAGGTCAAAATAATTGTTTCAATCTTGTTACATATCACTTTGTATCACTTTGTAGGCGAAACCGCTTTTGAACGATAGAGAAAAGTTTAGAACATTGGCGGATCCATTGCTTGTAGGGAACTACCCTACGAAAGGGATGTACCAAGCTCTAGCTGTGGCGGCCATGTGTCTCCAAGATGAAGCTAACACACGACCTCTCATTGGGGACATTGTGAGCGCCCTCGAGTACTTGGCCACACCCGATGAAGAATGGAATGGCATGGCCGATGGAGATGGCGTGGAGTGCCTGCTTGTTCCAAAAGACAAAAACGCATCCACGACATTAGAATGAAAAAAATGTTTTTTTTCGTTTGTAAGAGTACATGTTTCACTTGGTTGATGGGAGAAACCCCAAGAAAAAAGGAGAATGTACAATGCATTGGATTTCAAGAAGTGTTTGTTTTGTTCCTCAAATGTGATTGAATCAATATTAAGATTTACATAGCAGAGTGAATTCTGGGATTTCATTGATCACAAGGCTCTACAGGCTAAATCAAATATTTGCTCCATCAGAATTGTAGCCTTTCAGCAGCTAAATCAAAGATTTGCTCCAATTCATGTTTGACTCCATCATCAGCAAAGATGAAACCAATGGCATTCCTTGCTAGGTCAAACATTTCTCTCTTTCCAATACCTTTTTTTTGTCAAAACCAAAAGCATACCAAGTCAAACAATTAATAAATTATTTTGATCATATGATAATATTTAATCTTATGGATGTAGACGTGTGTGTGTGGGGGGGGGGGCTACCGAATGCAGAAGAGGCAATGGCGTATTCTTGAGATGAAGTGGTAGAGAAAACACCAGAGTCGTCGGTGCACAACACAATCGGGTGCTTAGAATTGTACAAATCAGCTGCAATTTCATTAGACGCGCTAAAGTGAGAACAAATCTCTTGTTTTGTGTAACACATAACTTTTTCTTGGATTACAATGCAAACACAAACTAAAAGGTAAAGCTAACCAAAATGGTGAATGTCCAATGAAGAGATGGTTTCGGTTCTGATGTTGGACGTCAAACAAATCTCAACCTGAAATCACATTCGACATAATAAGCAAAATAAGAAAGCAAAGATTACGGACCATTGAAGCACGAATAACTCATCAATCTATATTCACAAATGTGTACATATATATATTTATACTCAAATATGTAAGTGCTTGGGCAAATCTAACCGGAATCTTAAAGGACTTTAATTTCTTCCATTCTTCTTGTTGAAGGCAACAAGCATGGCCAATTCTTGCAGGTAGAAAATCTAGCATTGCATTGATTTCCTCCATGTTTGGCACCTAAAAAACCAACTAAAGAGTTTGGGATAAGGGGGGTCACAAAAGCCTCCTGATTAAGACTCCAAATCAACATTCAATGCTAAGCCAAACACACCTCTCCACAGTGAAGAGTGACTAAGAGTCCCTTTTCTTTAGCAAACTCCAGCACTGGTAGAAAGGTTGTCCTATACATAAAAATACTTACTGAAAAATTGTAATCTAGTTGTAGAGCTTCTGGAAGACAATTGACAACCTTAGCCTCCCCAAAAAAAGTACAGTACCTACCATTCACCAATCGCAGGATTCCCTGAAAGGTCGATTCCCACTACCCCTAAATGCCTCATTTCCATGGCAAGCTTAACCTTCAGACACATCATATAGCAGACATCAGCAGCATTTCAGAAAACTATTACAAGAAGCTATAAACATGTATTGTCATTATCATTCCAACAGCATACAGTTTCCATGGCAGCTTCTCTGGTTTCGCGCCGGTCTATACTGAGAAGAAGTCTAACATAAATCTTCTTTCTTCTTGTTCCATTCATCCCACAGCCATTACATAGGGTATGAGCATTAGCATGACTTTCTACATCCGACCCATGAAAAATATCAACCTCAACCGTACGAACAGCCCTCAGCCCCTCCAGAACAGCCTCCATGTATGACCTCTTACTCATCCCTTTCGAGTCATTCCTCTGCACCCGGCAAACTTACACAATGTTAGGAAAAGGTTTACAATAAAGCTAGGGGGTAAGCCAATATTTGTACCCCATTTGTACACCACGTTTGTCACAGGCAAAAACTGTCTAGGAGCAGTTAGAAACACACATAAACCTTTGGGTTGTGCTAGGGGTGCACCAACATATGACATTTGTACCCCATTTGTACACCAAATTTGTCGCTGACACACATAGGCACACACGTACACAATGTTAACAAAATTGGCCATTTCAAACACATAAAAAAGAGTCTAGAAACACGAAAAACCTTGGGAGTGGTCCTCAGCTCCAAATATACAACGTTCTCCGCGGCGAAATCTTCAACAACCTCTTTGGTAATTCTGGCAACAGTCTCGTGGTTCGTTGTGAGAACATGAATCAAGTCAAACAATTTGAAGACTTCAGTAAGCGAACGATCGTCTGAGCATCCAAATAAATTGAAGAATAAAATCCAGTGGAACTAACAACATTGGCACTAAAAAAACTCTATAAAGTATAAAAATGGGAGAAAAAGTGCACAAACTTTTCAAGATAACATATTCCACATCGGAGAAAACAATTATCCCCTTCTCCCCCAATTCTCTGGCTAGCTCCCTGCGACATATATAGTACACAAATCACTTGAACAACTAACAAATCGCCTACTTCCTTTCAAAAAAAAATCGCCTACTTTAATCACACATACATTATTTAAGATTCGCCCAAAAAGCAAAATCAAAGCTTTCATTCAATGGTTTGGGTGGACATTCATATGTGTAAATTAAACCAGACAAACAGAAGCTGTCATCAGCGCTATAAAGCAGCCAAGTGCCAAGAATCCGATAATGAAACAAGAGAGCGAGTAAAAAAAGAAAGGGAAAATGGTGAAACGAAAGAGAAAGCATACAGAAGAGTAGAGTTCCTGATGGAGCCATTGAGGTGCGCGTGAAGTTCCAGCTTTGGCATTGAAACCCACCATTCCATCCCTCTTCTTCTTCTTCTTTCTTCAATTTATTCTGTTTATTATCTTGGGAGACTTTGAGTTTTTGGATAATAAAGGAATGGGCCATGCTACACTTACACTAAAAATTGTATCCCACTCGTACACCGCAGTTATACACAAACACTTTGATGGTTTACACCGACACAAGTGTTGGTGCGTTAGCAAAAATTTACACGGACATAAAGTGTTGGTACGTTAACAAAAATTAGTTTTACACCAACACAAAATGTCGGTGCAAACCTGCGGTGTACAAATAAGGTACAAAAGTTTGGGGTACAAATAGTTTTATCCTAAAGGAATGAATAATCCTACTGCTCTCACACTCCTGTAGAAAAATTACACAAACTTTCTTTTAAGTTCTCAATGATGTACTTTTTCGCTGTTCACTTTTCCATGTGTGTAAATTTTTTTAGAAAAATGCTAGGGATACACCAAAAATATACCCCAAATATACACAAGCCTCTCCAATGCCACACATATTGGTAAATAAATTAAATAAGAAATAAATAAATAAAAATGAGTGGTAGAAAAATGGGTAGTGTACATTTGGGGTATACTTTTGATGTACCCCTAACATCCCTCTTTTTAGTATACAAGGAGTTTTTCTTTTCCACATAAGATTTAGGAGAGAGAAAGAATGATAAATTTTAAACTTTATGAGAAGATCACGATGTATTTAGTAATGAGTTACTGTTAAGACCATTAATTTTAAAAAAATTGTGAACATGACAATAAATTTTTTTTAAATTTTAAGTTTATCATGAAAACGCTCATGATTAATACATTGATCATCTCACCATTTTCTCCTCATTTTCTCATCTCACCATTTTCTTTCTTATCATTTTCTTTCCTACCATTTTCTTTTCTCATCCAAACAAAAGGTAGGGACTGTTTGTTTCAGCCTCTTAATGGTTCAGATGTCTGAATGGTTCAACACTTAATGGTTCAGACTGTTTGTTTCAGCCTCTTAATGGTTCAGATGTCTGAATGGTTAAGAAATTTGCCTCTGAATGATTAAGTATTATACAAAGTCTGAATGGTTAAGACCTCTTATCTGAATTGATCAGACATTTGCCTCTGAATAGTTAAGCAATAAACTAGCTCTTAATGGTTCAGACCTCTTACTGGTTCAGCACTTAATGGTTCAGATCTCTTACTGGTTCAGCACTTACTCATTCAGAAATTGCCAAACAGCCTCGTAAAAGACCCACTTTTTTTCTATGCCCGCAGCTTTATGAAATCTTAAGAACGAACTTGCAAATTTCACTATTATTTATTACTCTATTATTAGAATCAATTTACACATTCTTGAATATATAGTGCCTTCTTAATATCATTATTTAATCACGAATTATTAAATAAAATCCCTTCTTTTCTTCCTTCAGAATTGTAGCCTTTCAGCAGCCAAATCAAAGATTTGCTCCAACTCAAGTTTGACCCCATCACCAGCAAAGATGAAACCAATGGCATTCCTTGCCAGCTCAAACATTTCTCTCTTTTCTATGCCTTTTTTTTGTCAAAACCAAAACCACACCAAGTCAAAACATAAGTTATCATAATGATCCTATGATAATCCTATGGACATTAGATGTGAGTGGGCGGGTGTGGGGGTGTGGGTTACCGAATGCAGAAGAGGCAATGGCGTATTCCCGAGACAAGGTGGTAGAGAAAACACCCGAGTCGTCAGTGCACAACACAATCGGGTGCTTACAATTGTACAAATCAGCTGCAATTTCATTAGACGCGCTAAAGTGAAAACATATCTTATTAGTTTTATTGTAACACATAACTAACTTTTTCATGAATTGGAAACTAAAAGGGAAAGCTAACCAAAATGGTGAATGTCCAACGAAGAGATGATCTCGGTTCTGATGTTGGACGTCAAACAAATCTCAACCTGAAATCACATCGTACATAACAATCTCGAGTTAAAGATATATAGATATGTCTTGACAAGAAAATTTAACTTTTCTCTCTCGAAGATACATATATACTTATACTCAAAGATATAAGTGGGTGAGCAAATCTAACCGGGATCTTATAGGACTTCAATTTTTTCCATTCCTCTTGTTTAAGGCAACAAGCATGGCCGATTCTTGCAGGTAGAAAATCTAGCATTGCATTGATTTCCTCCATGTTTGGCACCTAAAAAACCAACTAAAGAGTTTGGGATAAGGGGGGTCACAAAAGCCTCCTGATTGAGACTACAAATCAACATTCAATGCTAAGCCAAACCCACCTCTCCACAGTGAAGGGTGACTAAGAGTCCCTGTTCTCTTGCAAACTCCAACACAGGCCAAAAAGTTGTCCTATGTATAACAATGCCAATTCAGATATTGCAAGCTAGTCTCAAAAAGCTTCTCAAGAGGGAAAGTTAACCTCCTACTTATATCAAGTATAGACTAGAATCGACTCAAACTTAGTAGAAAACCAATGTGAGAGATACTCAAGAACCCCTCATCAATCCAAGCCGGACAGGAGTGCCCAAACCAGAAAACAAACAGCCTTTCCCCAAAACATCCATTGGGAAGGCGTCCCATAAAAACAATGGACCTGCAACCGTAAGCTTTGGGTTTTTGGTTGAGTTAGTTCCATGAAACCCGGAGTGTGAACAAGAACGATGGGAAATAAAGAAAGAAAATATCTCCCCAAACACAATAAGGAGTATATGGCACCTACCATTCACCAATCATGGGATTGCCACAAAGGTCGATTCCCACGACCCCTAAATGCCTCATTTCCATAGCAAGCTGGACCTTTAGACACATAAAATAGCAGACATGAGCAGCATTCAAGAAAACAATTGCAACAAGCTATAAACATGTATCATCATCATCATTCCCAAACCATACAGTTCCCATGGCAGCTTCTCTGGTTTCGCGCCGGTCAATGCTGAGAAGAAGTCTAACATAAATCTTCTTTCTTTGTGAATGGCCATTACCATGACTTTCTTCTACATCTGACCCACGAAAAATGTCAATTTCAACAGTACTAACAGACCTCAAGCCCTCCACAACAGCCTCCATGTACGACCTCTTACTCATCCCTTCCGAGTCATTCCTCTGCATCAGTCAAAGTTACAGAATGTTAAGAAGAGGGTTTATGCGAGAGCACAAAATTGGCCATTTTGAACACAAAGAAACCTTGGGAGTTGTCCTCAGCTCCAAATAAACGACGTTCTCGGCGGCGAAATCTTCGACCACCTCTTTGGTAATTCTGGTGATTGTCTTGTGGTTTGTGGTGAGAAGATGAATCAATTCGAACAATTTGAGGGATTCAGAAATTGAGCGATCGTCTGAGCATCCAAATGAATTGACGAATTGAATTCTAGAAAAATTTGTCGACTTTGTTTTTTTCTTTTTGGGCAAATTGTAATCCCACATCATGGGTTTATGTTTTGGAAGGGTCAAGGGTGGTTCTTGTGAATTTATGCAGACATTGAGATGGTTTTTGTTAGAAATGCATCCCATTTCAATGCTTCAATCCAATTTATTAATATGACATATTTTGAAAGATGTCTAAAAATAATCCGTGAGAATTAAGTTCAGAGATAATATTATACTAATGTATGGAGGAGAGGGATTGAAATGAGAGTTCTCGCGATCCCACCATGTGATATCGGAACGTAAATTTGGAGTGGGCATGAATGGCAAACAACAACATTTGGAATTTTGTGTTGTGTGGAGTCAACGATGTGTCAATATGACCGGATGTGATTTGGCAGCCTAGCGGAGTGGTGATTTGCGTTTAATGTCTTGTGTCAAAAGTCTTCCCGGCCTAAAAAAAAAGGGACAATGTGTGTCCAGGGAGATTGTTGTGGCGGTGCAAGATGGGTGATAGATCAAAGATGAGAAAAAGTCTAAAGTAAGAGTAAAACATTGAAAATATATCAAAATAGGGATTCCATGTTTTTATTTTTAAAATAGAAGTTAAAATGTATTTACATTACCAATCATGACCATATACATTACAAAAAATATAATCAAATGCACATGTACAGTGTCACATTACCTCAATGCGAATTCCTATTTAACGAATTAAAACATGTAATTCTTATTTTAATACTTTGTCTATATTTTATTCTTATTTAGGGCAATTTCTTATCAAAAATCGATAATCTTTAGTTAGAGGGGAGATCACCGAATTGTGCGGTCTTGATTTAAGGGGTGATCACCGAATTGAACAAAATTAAGACTGACAAATTGAAAGCTCAGTTGAGATAATGGATTTGGTGGGAGCCAAAAATCGGTTATTACTAAATTCACCCCATATTTGGCTATATCCACTCCTTTTTGTGTCAAATGGATAAGTTTACCCATAATACTTAAAATGAGAAAGAAAGAAATGAAAAGACAAAAATGTCCATTTCCTATAAAGGGGTGGATTTAGCATCACCCCCAAAATATTATCGCATGAAGATAAGGAGGGATAGAGAAGGGCAATTTTGGACTATCACAGAAGTTAGCTATATTTACAAAAAAAAAAAATACTCCCTCCGTCCACAAATAAACTTCTCGTTTACTATTCATAGGGTCAAACTTTATTCACTTTGTTGACTTATTTTCGTCATCAATTTGATAAAATAATATAGTCATGTCACTTCTAGTTTTGTAGATCTTTTGATATAGTTTTTTAACATGTAATTTTTATTTTTAAATTTTAACCATTTTTCATATAAAATGATTTGAAAATAACTTCAGTTAAACATCGTAACGTGCAACGAGAAGTTTATTTGTGGACGGAGGGAGTATACAAAGAAGTTTTGATATGCTCAAAGATACAAAACGTGCAACGAAGTCACTTTCTTCGATCCTCATGGCACGAATTTATGGGGGAGGGAGGGAGTACTCAAACCTCGTAACGCATAACGTGTTATAGATTGGACATTTTGTTAGCATTTTGTCTGATTCATTTTTTTTTACGTAATCTTGAAAATAGTTGTGTTGTCTTTTTAGGTAAAAGAAGTGTACGTGCATACTTTTTACTAAAACATATTCAGCATCTGAGAAAACAATTATCCCCTTCTCCCCTAGTTCTCTGGCTAGCTCCCTGCAACATACATAATACACATATCACTTGAACAACTTTCAAATTCCCTACTTCAATCAAACATACATTAATTAATAATCCCCCAAAAAAGGAAAACTAAAACTAACTAAAGCTTTCTTTCAATAATGAAACAAGCTAAGAGACCCATCCATGGAGTAAAAAGAAAAGGAGAATTGAACTGAAGAGAATAAAGCATACATAAGAGTAGAGTTTCTGATGGAGCCATTGAGGTGAGCATGAAGTTCCAGTTTTGGCATTGAAACCCACCATTCCATCCCTCTTATTTAATCTTGCTACCTCCCCTAGCCTCTTCTTCATTTTCTTCAATTTATAAAGGACTAATAAATAATGCTACCTAACTAATACTCAAAATGGTTTATATAACAATATGGAGTGTATGATGTTTTTATATCAAAAATATGACTTATACTGCCAAATACTTCGAGCGAGAGTCTTGTTTAGCGCCTCATATTTTTACATAGTTTAGAAGCGTTGATTTTAGAAGTTGTTATTATCTATGTGTTATTATCTCTCAATCTTACACTGAATTTTTTAAAGGATGATCTATGTGTTATTATCTCTCAATCTTACACTGAATTTTACATGCATGAATGCATCACATATGAAAGTTATAGAGTGGTGTCAAACTATATGTCAAAAAAACGCAGAATAGTTTTACGGTATCTATTTTATATGGTATCAGAGCCATCATGAACTCCTAATTTTCTTCTTCAAGTGGTTGTTTTCTGCTCTTTATATTTTCTGTGTGCTTCGCCAACGACGTTTGTTCCTTCGTCCTGCCACGCAATAAAAGTTCTTTACATTTTTCCTTCAGAAATAGCTTAAATAACTATTCCACTTCAAGGATTCGGGGACCCTGGAATATTTTCTTAGTATTGATCGAATGTGCCCGCTTTTTAGATGGCAAGGCTTTGAGCCAATGCACATACGCGTGGGACATTCTAAAGAGGTTGGACTTATGGGACGTAAATTGGTTGATATTTGTTAGAGTGTAACCACCCCACCTACGTCAATTGCACCTCGTAAGTATAATTGACTTTAAAGTCAAAAGTTTTGACTTTATACTTACGAGGTGCAATTGACGTAAGTGGGGTGATTAGTTTGGGTCGGGACTTGGCGGGGGGTTTACCGGAGGGGTTAGTTAGAGGGGTAGGAATCATCAATTTTATGAACGGAGCTCCGTAGGGGGGCAGTGGCTTCCGTGGCCACTGGAATCCAGTGGCCATGGAACCGGGCTCATGAAAATAAGAGTTTCATGTTTTTATTCCTTAAATTGGAGCTTGCATTGTGTTAATGTGGCATTATGCATGTGCATTTTATCAGGGGCGGATCTACTCCCAAACAATTGGGGGCAAATGCCCCCAACTAAATTTTGGTGTTAAACTAATAATTTTTTAAAAACAAAAAATTATTATATTTTAGGTTGCATGCCCCTATCTAAAATTGGGATTGACCCCATCTCACATTATTTACTCCCTACAAAAATGAATGGAACCTTATTTAATTAAGCTAACTTTTAATTTTTGTTTAATCTTATTGAAGTAAAGTGTATTTTATTGCATTTAATTTATTGTTTAAAATATAATTTTACATTACTGATTAAATAAAATTTTACCTTCAATAAATGTTTAAAATAAAATTTATTATTTTTGTCATTTCAAATTGTCTTTTTTTAATAAAAAAATCAGGGGCGCTGCCCCGATCAATTGTGCCTCCATCTACCAAAATTTCTGGATCCGCCACTGCATTTTACGTAATGTAAATGGTCATGATTGATAAAGTAAATGTATTTCGACTCCTATTTTGGGAATAAAAACATGTAACTCTTATTTTGGTATATTTTCAATGTTTTACTCCTATTTAAATCTTTTTCCTTTTTTTTTACTAAAACAAGCTTTTAAATGCAATGTTAGGTGACCTTCCATGCACGTAATTAAGGAAAGGAGATAATTTAAAAGTGGCGAAAGTGGGTGATTGTATAAAAATGGGAATACAAAAATGGTAGGGCGGGTTGATCATGCATGCCCAAGATTGCCTTAAGTTTTCAAGACCGTGTCCCTATCATGAATGGGTGCTTTCCCTTAAATAAAAAACAAATACCTATTTCCCAAATGGCAAACTAATTTGTTTTTTAAATAAAAGGAATTTCACGTTTTGAATAAATCTCTAGGATGCGATTTGTCATTTGTGGAGTTTCATGCCATAGAGACGCCAAAATTTCTATCACTCAACTAGTCAAGAGAATCAAAATATAATCTTTATCCCAAAAATAAAAATAACATGTTTTAATCTTTAAAATAAGATAAATGTATTATGATAATGCGATAGTCCCTCTATAGTCTATCCTAGAATTTTCTTCCCTATAACTATTTACATGGTCAAAGTTTAATTATTTTCTTTTCCTAATTTCATTAGTCGTTTGATAATATAATGTAGTCATGTCATATTTTATTTTGTATAGATTTTAATTTAGTTTTTAAATATATATTTTTCATTCTAATTTTTACATGTATAATCCAATAAATTGAGTTAAAAATAAACTTAATCAAACTTCGTAAATTAAAATGGGAAAAATATTTTAGGACGGAGGAAGTACTATATAAAAAAATCACCCTAAGAGAAAGTACCAAATTAGGAGCTCTATGTTTTTATCCTCTAAATAGGAGCTGCACTGTGGTATGTAATGTAATATTGTAAATTAATACTCCGGTATTTCATAATACTTTTTTGTAATATATATGGTCATAATTAACACTGTAAATCTATTTTAACTCATGTCTCGAGAATAAAAAAATAGAACTTCTATTTTGATATATTTTTAATGGTGACAATAATTTGTGATGAGTAATTGATGATGATAATTATGGTAATATTAATTGGGAAATTCAAACGAGATGTCGGGGCCAAATAATATTTTCCCATCATGAAGTCTTCCACTTTTTTGAGTTGTGAGATTCATCAACTCAAGAAAGTAAATAATTCTTTCGAGTCCTATCTTCAATCTTCACGTGTTGCATTTTTTGACGAGTTGGTAAGATCATGATTTGTTAGTCGTCCTTGTCCTTCGCTGGTCTTTGAGCATCTTCGAATATATCTTCTGATTTTTTTCTTCTTTAATCTGCAAAAAAATGCAATATGTATTTTTCTGGCTAATTGAGCCGTACTCGGGTATAATGAATATCTTGATCAAATAGCTCAATATTAGAGAAAATTAAATAACTCATCTGAGTAATAATGATGTTAATAATATGGAGTAAATTAGTGTCCCAGTCATTCGTTTTGTCAACGGGACCATTGTTAATGCGTATTAATGCATAACATAATTAGTATCCCCGCAGGTTGATATGAATGGAATCAATTGTTAAATCAGTGTTAGCTAGTCTCACTAACCAATGTAATAAGTAAT